GTAAAGGGACTGATGATGAAACGCTTATCTCATCAAGCTGAGGTCTGTAATGAGGACAGCATTGTAAGTGGGGGATAAGTGGTGGCGTAGACCCCCTCCCCTGTTCAATGACGGCTTCTCAACCCTGGTGTAGATGCTTCCTTGACACCTCTTTCAAACCATCCATCTTCTCTGTCTAAAATGTGCACCTGGTGGTCCTCAAACGAGTGTCCTCTGTCCTTCAGATGTAAGTAGACTGCAGAGTCTTGACCTGAGGAGTTGGCCCTTCTGTGTTGAGCCATGCGTTTGTGTAGTGGTTGTTTAGTCTCCCCAATACACAGGTCTGTGCATTCCTCACTGCATTGGACCCATACACTAGATTGCTTTTCTTTGCCAGTCAGTCAGAACTGAAGAAGTCATTTGGATGAGGGATGAAACGTCTTCCAGTATCATGACACAGAAGCTGATGTGTAACAAGGTTAAAGTCCAGCTGCCCTTGACTTTAACCTTCGTTGGATAACTATGACCTGGATGACTGAGAATCTTCATAGACAAGGTAGTGTGATCCAAATCAAAGCAAGTATATCCAGCTGCAGCCTGCAGATCGTGACGGAAGTTGAACTTCCAAATATGGTTTGTCCCAGAAGACACTGCGCACAAAACGTGATGACGTTTATCTCGGCTTACGTACATGATAGATCCTAATGCAAACCGTTTTATTCTTTAGAAGCCAACAACAGAAATTTAAATACACTTCTCAGACGTTTTTAGGCGAAAAATCAACTGTGAAGATTTCGAAGATCGGCAGTTTTACGAAAATTGGCAGCGAATCAAAAATGTATTAAAACGTTTTCGGAGTAGAGAAGCGCCGACGGGTGTTATAGCTGCAGTAACGTTACCGGAGGCTGCACAGCAACACAATGGCGGCGTACATCAGCCTTTTGGCCGACATGCTAGCAGATAGGGTTAACCAGTCGACATGCATATAATCAATAACTTTAGGCACATACCCTGGTTGGGGTAAGAGGAATATACTTCGGGGGGCTGTCAGCTAGCTAGCTACGGTTAGCTCCCCCAGGCCCAGTCACACAGACCACTGCAGCCAACACAGCAGACGTGTCCAGCAACAGCGGATAATGTTCGTACCACTGTTATTCTGTCAATAAATTCTCAGTAATAATAAGTTTTAACCTAAATCGAGACACATCTGGCTCGTGATGTAACATTACAGAATATTTGTGAAACTTAAAATTACTTTGGAAGAAATAAAATGTACAACAGTGGTATGAATTGAAACATGGCCTTATTATTATTATTAGGCTATTGTAAATAATTATTTGCAGGAATTATATAGTATAAATAGTATAGTATAAAATAGTATAAATATACTATCTTAATATATAAGTATAGTATAGTAATACGTAATACACAACGTACACTGATTACTACGTTGTCTCTTTTTTTAACGGCTCTTTTTTTTATTTAACAACTATGCGTGGGCCGAGCAGTCGAGATAAACGTCATCACGAAAACCTTCCAGCTGTGTTTTCCTTGTTGCTGCAGCGGTCTGTGTGACGGAGGGAGCAGAGGGCTCTGTGAGCGGGCGGCTGGCCGGCCTCACACGCTCCTCCCGCGGGTCACAGCAGGCTTCCCCCGCAGCCACTTGCAGAGCTCCTCAACTCCGAAAACATTCAAGCACATTTTGTTCCGCCATCACTTCTCATAAAACTGTCAATATTGGAAATCTACACAGCTGAAGTGGATTTAGTGATGAAATTCCATACGAAAACTGTAAAATATCAAACTTCCTTACATTTTAGTTTCCCTCAGCTCGCTTGGAACCTCGATGGAGGTGAGGTGATACGAAAAAAAGTACCCGGAAGCAGGTACAGGTGCAACATTTCTACAATGGAAAACCAAACAAAGGCGAGTCGAGCCAAAGGGCCTCCGCTCAGACTAGCTTGGTTTGAGGGCGTGCCTGACCCCGCTAGCCGCTTGGCAAGCTTTATGACGCGTTTTCATTGTGACGTCACAAGTAAAGGAAGTGAAGGGCTGGACTACAAACGAGCTGTTTTCAAGCGGTTCAGAGCAGAGCTTTCTGTGGGAGATGGGAACTCCCTTTGGCCTGGACACTTTGCAAACCTGTTACATGCACAAAAAAGAGAAATAACTCAATAAAGGAGAGGGAAAAAGCCAAAAAGCATAATACCACCTCTTTAAGTTCTTCAGTGAAATGGAAGCTCTTTTGGGGGGACATCATGACGTCAGAGGGGATTGACATTCGCAGGCCTGATTTGCTTGGTAGTGAGAGGAGACAGCTACCTACACCCAGCCAATCCAGCTCATCTCCACAGTGTAGCACGTGAGGCACACATAGACAGAGGTTGAGTCCACAGGCAAGCGCACTTCTGGAATTCCTCCGTGAATCAAAGGCTGTAAGCCAAAGGAGACATGATGAATTTTTAAGTCAAATGAGAGTTTTACAGCTTTCCTTTGAGACATTAATGAAAGACTATCAAAGCAAGTTGTGAGGTGAACTCATATGTATGAGTAGGTTGGGTCAATAATGTTGAAATGATGACTTACGTTTGTACATTGTTATGCTCTAGTGCCAAGTGTGGTTTTGTTTTAAAAACGAGAACCTAAAAATATTTTGAGGTTAATATGACCCAGCCCAGCAATAGGCACATAACAATAATTATATAAATGTGTTACATTCTAAGACAGAATTGTTTACAGTGTTTACTTGTTTTTTCCAAGTTTACAAAGTGTACTTGACTGGATCTGCATTTGTGCTCTATGGAGATATTTTCTTTTTCATTTCGCAAAATTAATGTGCCCTAATTGAGATCTTATGTGTTGTAATTTGAAATGCATTAATAAAAGCATAGATTTTCATTTTCGCACACTTTGTTGCAGTTTTCTTTCATTGTTCCTGTCAGGTTCACAATGCATTGGCTACTTTGAAGTCATCAGCTAATATACAAAAATGTACTATAAATTTCTCCTGAGAAACCTGACTATGTGATTACAACAACTGCAAGACAGAGATAAAAGACATGTATGTATATATGTACCGATACAAAGACAGTCTAGCTGACTGTCTTTATTTCGGTCACACACTGTATCACACATTAGGCTGTAGCCTGCAGAAGTATAGTTCTTCTCACAATAGTACTTGTTTAATGAAATGTACGGGGTTGATTGTTCTTCTGTAGTTTGTATGATGCTTTGGCAATATTGTTGTTACCATAATGCCAATAAAGCTAATTTGAATTGAATTGAATAGTAAACCAACTGATGAATAATTGCACCATGGTGCAAAGGGTTGTAAATCACTTCCACAATACATCTGTGTGCTGATGACTGTGACAAATTGAATTTGTCAGATATTTCTCTAAAGCTATTTTGGTTGGCCATATACCACAGAAAGAGTGCAACCTTTTGCTTGAGAGGAATATCTGGAGGACTCGCAGCCTGTTGTGGTTCGAGACCCTGCTGTCTCAGTACATCTGTGATGTAATCAGAAGAGAATGGGCGAACCGAAGATGCCTGAAGAATGTCTGCTCATCCATATGATTAGTATCTGCCATTCAGTGCCAGTCTTGAGAATTGTTGTCTGTGGCATTAGTAATTGGGCTATTATTGCATTTCTGAAAAGAAAAAAATGTGACACAAATTCAAGATGATGAATTAAGAATAATGGAATGACTAATGTTTGAATAAGTGAAATCTTCCACAAATTTCTTATAAATGTGACAGTACACTGTATTAGGTATTATGTTTGATAGGCTATGCTAACTTGGTGCATTCTGTAATTCAGTGCTTTTAATACTGTTGGTACTGTATATACTACTATTAGTACTATTACTACTACTACTATATCATATCCACCTAACTCACGTATATAACACCTGCACGTAATACTACTATTATTATCATAATACTATTTATTTCAGCATCCTCTGCTCCACTGCATTGTGTGTACATGTGTATGTGTGTGTATGTATATGTAAATATCAATGCGTGTGTATGTATCCATGTATGTGCATATGTGTATCTAACATCCATCTTCGACATGTACATTATAATAATACTGATAATGATTTACTTCTGCATCCTTTGCCCTATTGTCTTGATCTGTCAACATTGTTTTTGTTTATGGTGTGTATATGTTGTGTGTATGTGTTTATAGGCCTAATGTAGTCTACGTCTGATTCTTTATTGTCTAAGTAAGCACATAGTGAGCAACGTAGGCTACAATCCAGAGTGAAATTCCTCATTATGTGTACACATACGTGGCTAATAAAGCTGATGTTTTATTTCGGTTTATGTTCAGCCTTAACTTTCTGTTTGTTTAAGTTAATGCTTGTACATATTTTATTTCCTTTTACATCTATTTTGTTTTCAATTTGTAGGCTACAGATTTGTATTAGGTTAGTGAATAGAATATAAGATTTTACAATAACTGTACAATGGTGTCTTACCTAATGCGTCGTTTTTCCTCCTCTGTATTGTTTATAAATGCACGGAGGCTGCTCTGCTGATAGTTCAACTGTGCATACACTTGCCACATTAACATGAGCTTCTCACGGTCAGCCATGTTTTTGTTTACGTTTGGCGTCATCAACCATCTTGCACCTGAAACGTTTTGACGTCGGAAGTTTCAACTGGGAAATATCCCAGTTCTGACCGGTCTCGAACGCAGCATTAGCCACAATAAAACAGGAAATAAAACATACCTGCTTCAAGAAAAGCATAAAACAGCCCTACAAAATAATACAGGGTTTGAATGACGACGAAAAGTAGTCTTGAAGATTGCATTAGCTAAGTTGGACAGATAAAGAGGTTAAAACGAATGTTTATAAGATATCTGCTTTATAAATCCAAGTTCTCCAGTATATGTTTCTTCAGCAGTTTCACCATGAATTGTAGGCCTGTTGGTTGCTCTGTAGCCAATCACCTGGAATTGATGTAAAAACAAGTTATAATAAATGTAATACTCTTTTTTTATTACATGTAGTTATATCCCGTTATATCCTCTAAAGGAACGTTCAATGTCTAATTTGAAGGAAGTAGTTTTTAACTTCTGCTGCCTTGTTCTTGTTTCAGTTAGCTTGGTTAAGGAAACTCTCAGTACCTTCATGGAAGTACAAACACGGAAACATGTTACGTATTGTATCGAGGAAGCGCTGGTGTGAGACTCGTCTTTAGGTCGCTGTTGTGATAAACTGGGCATGTCGATGTAGAGGAATGGACAGCAGAACAGAGCCCGGGGACCATGAGGAAACTCTGTATCAGTGCCAACTCATCCAGAACCTGGTGGACATTTCCATCTCTAGCCTGCAGGCTCTCCTGACCAGATGCGCCGCATCCGACCACCTCAGCCAGCAAGAGATCCGCACTTTAGAGGTAGGCTCCGTTAAAGTACACACGATGCTCGTGCTCCCAGCCCGGTGCTTGAGCCTCCAAAAAGGTCTGTAACTTCACTGAAGTGTAACGTTCTGGAACATCTGCCGTCTTCTTGCTTGTTAGGGGGACCGTTTCTTAATCATCTGAAACAGGTGCTACACAGTATTAATTGTTACACATCAGCTTCTGTGTCATGATAAGGAATGTTCACTGTACTGTCGCAGTTATTTTTTGGCCACAGTTTAATATTATTTGATGTTTTGATTGCTGTTACCAGAAGTGGCGACTCAGGTAGTGATAACCTCCATTCCCATGTGGTGGTGGTAACCACCTCACAGTGTTTAACGTTTAATAGTCACACATTTTGTATTTAGTTGAAAAGGGAAAGTTTGAGATGTCTATGCCTACTTGTACTATTAGCAAATGTTTAAAAAAAACTTTCCCACATAAGACATTTCCATTGTCACATTAAGAAATGTACAAGTTTAAATAATGTAATGAATCGGGTGTCATGATTCTCCAAATCCACAATTTGATTTGAATTTTGAATTCAAGGTCTTTCTATTTCTTTCATCACTGATGGCTATGCTACTGTTAGACAATCAAATATTTATTTGTAAAGATCAACAGATCATTTGGTTTTATGCCCTGACAACTGTTATTTACATTTTAAAATTATACTAAAAAAGCTAGGCTTTGTGGTATCAAGTGTGATAACAGCCATATATTTTGGAATGTACCACACTATGATCCAATCTAAATCATTTATTATCTATGGCAGGTATGCCTGGAGGGGCCCTTCTAATCTAGTTACACCTTGATGATGTAACCTCCCCTTCATTCCACTCCTATCATGCATACATGCTGGACACAGAGCCTGACCTGTGCGCCATGATCCCCACCCACATACCCACATACCCCCATACCAAACTGACATCATTCAGACAGAAGAATGAAGAAAGAAAAATACATCAGTTTCAAAAGGGTCCAACAAACAAAACTGTTTAAGACAAAAACAAAAAAAAAGTCACTAGATGGCAGAAGTGTACTTTTCCTCACCTATAAAATGCTGGCAGGATTAGAGGGATGGAAGAGTTGACTGTGTCAATGAAGCTCTTTTCCTTGTCAGATCTGTTTGTTTATGACGTCTGTGAAGATATCCTGCCGTATTTGTCATCCCAAAAACACTGGGACAATCACTGATCCCCTTTAAATACTTTAATGCCATTTTTACATAGTCGATAGGAATTTGGCTGACAAAAACAACAAGAATCTTACACATAGTAGTGACCACCTTATGACTTAAAAGTGAAGGTTTTGAAAGGTTTTTAGTTAATAAAAAAAATGATAAATAGATATGGCCTTATTTACTTGGCTGCTGTATATTGGCTGGAAAAAAACTGCAGCGACAAAGCAACAGAATCCATACAGGCCTTTGGCAGCTGAGAACATAATGCCAGGTGTCATGAGATGAAAGATTAATAACAACACAAAGTGCAGCTGCAGTACACAGTAATGGCTAGAATTGCTGTTAAAAGCTGCCAGTAATTTTTTCTGTGGTCTCAGATTCACTTGGCCCAAGGACTTTCAGAACAGCCATTCAGAACAGAAAGGGAAAAAAATCAAGACAAGGAATCAGTAAGTGGGAATATTGCCACTGTCACTAAATGATTTTTAATAAATTTAAAAATGATATTCCATGAAAATATGATATGGCAGACCCCTAACAACTCAGATTCAGTCATTAATTGTTGTCCACAGAAACATCTGTGCTTTCATCCACCTCCAGCCCGATAGCCATGGAGGAGAGGATTAGCTCCTCAACCATGGTGGCCAAAATCTCCAACATCTGATGAATTATTAAATGAGGCTGACAGTTGGTCTTTTTATGATCTAAAAGTAGAGAATAAATATAGATTGAATATTATTATGAACTGATTTGCAGTGATGAAACATAAATATGAATGTAATTTGAAGTCCATCATGATTGCCTCATGCTCTAAAATCCCAACCAGGTCAAAAACAACAAGAACTGAAGAACCTAAGTCAAGCAGTTACAAACATACAGTCCCCCTCCAAAATATTAAATGTTATTATATACTGTTATATACTATAAGATTATTTGTTCCATTACTTTTGCTCACCTAAGAATGCTGTGGTCTAATACAAACGGTGCTATGTCCTGAGTTGTTTAACACATCTAGATGTGAATACCAGGAAATAAAAGCTGAAATTCTGAACTCTTGTCTCATACTCATCTTTTGATCTTAAACCCAAATGTCTTCAGTGAACAACAAAAAAGACATTTGCCATACTGTTCCAATACTTTTGGAGGGGACTGTATGTTTTCTTTGATGGTTACTGCTACAAAAGCAGGTTCTACCTGAGACATCTTCATCAGTTAAAATAACTTCCTATTATGATATGTCATCGGCGGAACTTTACCTTGTGCCAGTAAGGCATGTGACTTCACAGACTGTTTGTGGTGCTCTGTCGTCATATGCTTATCTAAACAGTCATCTCTGCAGAGCTGGCAGTGCTGTTGTCTTGATGACTGGCCCCTCCTCTCTTTGGTGCCTGCTTATGTTGCTAAAATAAGTGGCTGAACATTTCTGTAAGGAGATTGTAAAATGGCATTATTGGTCATTGTGTTCATACAATATTACATTGAAATGAACTGAATTGCATGATATGGTGTAATACTGAACACTCAGTGTGGTAGAGCCATGGGTGGAACCTGTCTAGTCTATTCATTTAGGGTCCCAGCGTGATGGCCTGTGCCCAGTCTTTGTTTTCTCTCCTCTCTCCTCTTTCTGCCCTTTTATTAGAGCAATACGGGTTTTTGGGGGCCGATATTAAAGTAAAAGGAGCCGATTTATAAGGCAATATTTGGATTTTGAAAATGAATTGGATAGTAGACCCCTTTCCTGTACAAACCACTCTCAGAACAGGTCGATATTGAAAGCCGTTATTTATATGGGCAATAATACCTTTTCCTGAATGGATTATGAAAAAAAATAAGACAGTCTCAACAACTGAAATAATGGAAACAGTTAACCCTTCACTAAGCCACGCCCCACCTTAGTTACTCTTGCCAACAAACTGTCGGACGTGTCAGACATTTATCACAGCGCAGCCACTGTCTAGTCCATCACTCCCTTGAGAAATATTGTCTAATTTTTGGAAAAAACGATCTCAGAAAGAAGCAGACACTTTTGCATTTGCATTGTGCATTTGAAGGTTGTATTCAGGCTGTCAAACTGACTAAACTGACGTGAAACAAATAAAGACAGAAGCTAAATCCTGCTGATTACAGAGTAAAAGTGAACCACCGTATTACTGAGAAAGAGGAAAATGATATTAAGGTTCCTGTACAGCTGGGTAGGTCTCCATTTACTATTACAATCATGAAAAAGCAGAACAGTATAGCTTTATAACTTTATATTCAGTAGTAATTTAGCTAGCGTTATCTAACTAACATAACATTAGGAACAATCCACAGCCTACATTTTTCTGGATTTATTTTAGGTTTTGGAAAGAGAATAAATTGTACTTCTCCTTTCAACCTCTCTGGGTAGCGATTGTAACTATTACTATTAAGTGCCCCGGGAACAGTGTTTGACTATAACATGGAAAAATAAAACAAAAAAAAAAAGCTAGAAAATGACTCCTTTTGCATACAAGTCAATGGAGCGCAGCCATGAAAGTATCAGAACTTAGTTACCACCATCTGTCTAAACCATGCCGTTTATGATACAGTGACCCAGAGAAACGCTGCTGTTAATACTCCATGACTGTCTACAATGAAGACTTGCAACTTTGAAATTTCACACTGACGCTGCACATTTGAAAGAGGAGCTAGATAACTTTGATTGGCTGGAAGCTGTGTTAGATACTTGTTCAGCTCATGTTTATTTACATGTCCCCTCTAGTTTAATCATTTCTGACATACCGACTGTAGCTACAGACAAGTAGCTCATAGATATGTTTGGAACAAGTTAAACATTATAGTTTAACCGCTCATTAACGATAGCGCTCTACCACTGATAAACATTAACTAGCTTTGTGGTTAATCTGATAGCAATGGGCAGCGTTAGCTGCTTTAAGTGATGTTAGAGAATATTTAGAAGTGATGAACTAGGGACAAATGATAGAAACGTTCACTAGAACTGCCACACTGATTCAGAAATTAATCTACAATCACGTCTGTCAGCAGCGTAGCCTCCACCACTCACCTGCTGTAACATTAAACACGCTGCTGTGACCTGGGAGGAAGCCAGGAGAGGGCAATGAAAAACAGGAGGGTTAGCAAGTATGGTCCTGAATGTTTTCAGGAGAGGAGAAGAGATGAGTTAGTCATATATTTCATGTCACAAATGACCAACTCACAGTGATCACATACTCTCACTTGTTGGTTCTGAATGCTCTGGTAGAATCTGGTCAGCTGATTGTTTTGCTTTGTGGTGAATGTGTGGCGCTGTTTTGAACAGGGGTGTTGCAGATCGCCCTGTGGTGGGCAAACTATGCAACACTCATGACATGAGTGAAGGATCTGTCTCTCAGTTTCTTTTTTAATCTGAGTCTGAGTGAGCTGTGTTATCCGGTAGTTTTGACCATTAAAAGCTTTTAAGATGTTATTTTGTCGGGCCGCACTTAATGACTATTTTTCAAATGGATTAATCTGACAATCAATTTTTCAATTAGTCGATTAACCTAATAACTAATTTATTTATGATTATTCAGAAGATTTTTTTATTACTGAATTAATATAACAATTAATTTATCCAAAATAGATATCAAAAACGTGTCACTAATAATACTATATTTTATTCAAAGATTCTGAAAAAGAGACACATAAAGATCATTACAAAAATGAGAATAATAGCATGTTTTAAAATTTCCACGTCACTGTTATAATACTTAAAATAATAACAGATGCCCGATCAGAAAAATATTGGACCTCAAATTCAAAAGGATTGCTGTGACACAGACTAATTTAA